ACGATAGAATTTAAAACAATTAGTTATGGTAACAAAGTCAAGTTGGATTTACTAAGGAGAGAATATTAATATGTGGCGAACATACAGTGAGGCGAGGCGAACGTAGAGTGAGGTTTAGGCCAATGTTTGTTTGATTTTTCTTAATCACCGTGAGTTGTTTGTATAATTGTTGTAAAATGAGATTTTGCAAAAATGATTATATTCCTAAAGGCCTATTAACCTGAACGATAGAATTTAAAACAATTAGTTATGGTAACAAAGTCAAGTTGGATTTACTAAGGAGAGAATATTAATATGCGGCGAACATACAGTGAGGCGAGGCGAACGTAGAGTGAGGTTTAGGCCAATGTTTGTTTGATTGTTCTTAATCACCGTGAGTTGTTTGTATAATTGTTGTAAAATGAGATTTTGCAAAAATGATTATATTCCTAAAGGCCTATTAACCTGAACGATAGAATTTCAAACAATTAGTTATGCAAACAAAGTCAAGTTGGATTTACTTAGGAGAGAATAATATGTGGCGAACATACAGTGAGGCGAGGCGAACGTAGAATGAGGTTTAGGCCAATGTTTGTTTGATTTTTCTTAATCACCGTGAGTTGTTTGTATAATTGTTGTAAAATGAGATTTTGCAAAAATGATTATATTCATAAAGGCCTATTAACCTGAACGATAGAATTTAAAACAATTAGTTATGGAAACAAATTCAAGTTGGATTTACTAAGGAGAGAATAATATGTGGCGAACATACAGTGAGGCGAGGCGAACGTAGAGTGAGGTTTAGGCCAATGTTTGTTTGATTTTTCTTAATCACCGTGAGTTGTTTGTATAATATTGTTGTAAAATGAGATTTTGCAAAAATAATTATATTCCTAAAGGCCTATTAACCTGAACGATAGAATTTAAAACAATTAGTTATGGAAACAAATTCAAGTTGGATTTACTATTAGGAGAGAATAATATGTGGCGAACATACAGTGAGGCGAGGCGAACGTAGAGTGAGGTTTAGGCCAATGTTTGTTTGATTTTTCTTAATCACCGTGAGTTGTTTTATAATTGTTGTAAAATGAGATTTTGCAAAAATGATTATGTTCCTAAAAGCCTATTAACCTGGACGATAGAATTTAAAATAATTAGTTATGCAAACAAAGTCAAGTTGGATTTACTAAGGAGAGAATAATATGTGGCGAACATACAGTGAGGCGAGGCGAACGTAGAGTGAGTTTTAGGCCAATAATTAATGTTTAATTGTTTCATTTTTCTTAACCACCGGGACTTTTTGGTATACTTGTTGTAACATGAGATTTTGCAAAATGATTATATTCCTATAGGCCTATGTACCTGGACGATAGAATTCAAAATAATTCAATGCAAGCAAAGCCATGTTGAATTTATTCATGTAGAGAGAATTGTGTGGCGAACTAACAGTGAGGTGAGGCCGTAGAGTGAGGTGTAGATCTAGGTATATTATGCAGTAGTAGGCCTAGTAGTGAATTAAAACATGTTTGTTTAAAATTTGACACACAAGTTATCATCATCATGTAGCCTATTAATTTAGACTATAGAATTTTAAATAATTAAATGCAAATTAACAATGATAAAGTCAAGTTGGATTTACTAAAAAGAAAATAATATGTGGCGAACCGTGGATGTATAGCCCTATTATGCAGTCGTAGTGAATTAAAACATGTTTGTTTAAAATTTGGCACACAAATTTTCATCATGTAGGCCTATTAATTTAGACTATAGAATTCAACATAATTCAATGCAAATTAGGCAAAGCCATGTTGGATTTATTCATGTAGAGAGCATTATGTGGCGAACTTACAGTGAGGTGAGGCGAAGGTAGAGTGAGGTGTGGAAATCATATAGGCCTACTGAATCAAAACATTTACGTTGAATTTATCTAAATCAAGCATTTTATTTTGCAAATGTGAACAGATTATACGCACAATACGAAATTCTATGAAATTAATAGAGCATGCCAGTACACGGGTCTTTATGGGGAAAATAGAATTTAAAACAATTCAATCAAAGTCATGCTGGATTCTTAAACTAAAGAAATAAAATGTGGCAAACGTAGAGCGAGGTGAGGCGAACGTAGAGTGAGGTTATGAGAGGTGGCACGTATGATTATGTGTGAAGACTTTTCACGACTTATTTGTCTATGATTGGTCAGTGCTCCATCTCGTAAAGTTGTAAATTTGCCTTATGAATATTTATTAGGCTTCGTGACCTTTACTGTGAATTCACTTCCGCTCATGTCACAATCGCCTCAAAAGTGCCTACCACTAAGGTGCCAAGGTACCGGTATTGCGGCCTCATGAATAAACATGAGTATATGACGTCACGAACTCGCTACGAACTCGCCACGCCTACTCTACCCCTTACCATTTAGCGGGTATCTATGTTAACGTTGTCGCCTCTATAATCTATTTTTGTTGTACGTACGGCCGTACCTACACCCCGACTATATATATATACCTACCTATATACCTACATATACTTACCTACCTACCTACCTACCTACCTACCTACCTACCTACCTATATATATTATGTCTCATTTTGAAGAAATTCAGTCATTAATTGTTCTCGCTCATATATTAGTAACTCCATATATATAATATATCCTAGCTTGATAGCACCCCTCCATTAATTATATTGAGCAATAGAAATATTAACTCCATCACTATCCATCATTTAAACTTGCTCGAACTCCAACCTAGCACCTCCTCTATACAGCCTAGCACCCCCTCCATATTAAGCCTTGGAAATATTAACTCCATCTATCTCCATCATTTAAACTTGTTCGAACTTCATCCAACCTAGCACCTCCTCTATACAGCCTAGCACCCCCTCCATTGAGCCTAGCTCCCAGGACCAAAATCCAATTGAAACCAGTTGAAATCTCCAACTGGTTTCAATTGGTTTCAACTGGTTTCAATTGGTTTCAATTGGTTTCAATTGAAATAGAAAATTTCCAGTTGAAACCAATTGCCGAACTGGAAAATATTGTTATGGGTACTCATTTCCAGTTCAAACCAATAAGAAGTGCAACTGGAACCAGTAAGGTAATTTTTCCAGTTACTCAATTGGTTCCAGTTAGAAGTCATTTCCAGTTACCCAACTGGTTCCAGTTAGAAGTTCAACTGGAAACAGTAAGATGATTTTCCTGTTACTCAATTGGTTCCATTAGAATTCATTTCCAGTTACCCAACTGGTTCCAGTTAACATTCATTTCCAGTTAGAAGTCATTTCCAGTTACCCAACTGGTTCCAGTTAGAATTCATTTCCAATTACCCAATTGGTTCCAGTTAGAAGTCATTTCCAGTTACCCAACTGGTTCCAGTTAGCATTCATTTCCAGTTAGAAGTCATTTCCAATTACCCAACTGGTTCCAGTTAGAATTCATTTCCAGTTACCCAACTGGTTCCAGTTAGAATTCATTTCCAGTAACCCAACTGGTTCCAGTTAGCATTCATTTCCAGTTAGAAGTCATTTCCAGTTACCCAACTGGTTCCAGTTAGAAGTCATTTCCAGTTACCCAACTGGTTCCAGTTAGAATTTATTTCCAGTTACCCAACTGGTTCCAGTTAGAAATCATTTCCAGTTACCCAACTGGTTCCAGTTAGCATTCATTTCCAGTTAGAAGTCATTTCCAGTTACCCAACTGGTTCCAGTTAGCATTCATTTCCAGTTAGAAATAATTTCCAGTTACCCAACTGGTTCCAGTTAGAATTCATTTCCAGTTACCCAATTGGTTCCAATTGGAAATATTTCCAGTTACCCAACTGGATCCAATTGAAACCAGTTAATTTGCATATTATATGCTTGTGTGCAGATCAATGTTTTATGTAATTTATTTTGATTTACAATGTACTTATTAATAAATTTTCATTTGCAAGTAATGCATTTGTTTTAGATAAATATAAAGATTAATTAGCAATGATAAGCATGTTCATTAGTAACATATTTTTGTAATTACACAGATTAAAAGTTGATGAGTAAAACACTAACCATGTACAAAATACATCAATTACAAACATATATAATGGCAATGCCTTCCTTGTTAAGTATATTATATGGTCTTCATATTATAATGCCCTTTACATTGTACTTAATGTAGACACATATAACAATGTTTCTGTGTTGACATGAGCGATAATTAGTGCAAGAGCGAATTAACTTATAACTAATTAAGTTTATGCCAATTACTGTAAGTTTCAATTGGATCCAATTGAAACCAATTGAAACCAGTTGAAGCCAACTGGTTTCAATAGTTGAAACCAATTAGGCAACTGGATCCAGTTGGCAATTGGTTTCAACTGGTTTCAATTGGAACCAGTTGGCAATTGGTTTCAACTGGTTTCAATTGGAACCAGTTGGCAACTGGTTTCAATTGGAACCAGTTGTTCCAATTTCCCTATTGAAACCAGTTGGCAACTGGTTTCAATTGGTTTTGCTCCAATTGGTTTCAACTGGATTTTGGTCCTGGTAGAAATATTAACTCCATCTATCTCCATCATCTAAACTTGTTCGAACTTCATCCAGCTAGCTAGCCTAGCACCCCCTCTATACAGCCTTGCACCCCCTCCAATGAGCCTATCCATCTATCTCCATCATTTAAACTTGAACTACATCCATGCTAGCACCTTCTCTATACAGCCTAGAGCGACCATTAAGCTTGCATGTTTTCAGACCTAGCTATTACGATAATGTGTATCTGTCCAACCTAGCTTGCACCAACGATATCCTGGCCCCTATATAGCAACAACTCCATATGTAGCTATTGGTATACGGGTAATTTAACAGAACCAATTTCATATATCTTTCATCAATTATATCTAGCTATAGGTGAAGGATTTGAGTTCGTAGCGAGTTCGTGACGTCATATACTCATGTTTATTCATGAGGCCGCAATACCTTGGCACCTTAGTACGCTACCTCATGAACTGTGGGTGAGAGATACAATATAAACAAAATCCTTCATTTCCATTCTTGATGGATTTGTCTGCTCAAAGCTACCGTATCGACATGCATCGAAAAATTAATATTTATTAGGAAAACAGAGAATATTTATCAGCCTTTTGCCGTTCCCCAGTCATCATATTTTGGAACAAACATTGCATGAAAAATGTGGTTGACACGAATATTATTTGGTCATCGTATTCGGAGTGGAAAGGTTCCCGGCGTGCAATTTATAGGGTAAGTTATCATTGCATAAAAACAAGTTGTTGTGTTCGGTCCCATGTGCTCGTATTAATGTTGCAGTTATAATATGGGAAAATTAATGCCATTTCGTCTGTGGCATGTGGCATGTGGGTTGAAGGTTTTGATTATGTTTGTATCTGTTTAAGTTTATTAAAACAAGTTGAATATCATTGGCTTGCTGTAGAATGGGGATGAAGCATTAGCCATTAAAGGACAAGTCCACTCGAAAAATAACTTAGATCTACTTTCAATAAAAGCAGAAAAATCAGACAAACCAATCAACAAAAGTTTGAGCAAAATCGGATAACTATTTAAGAAAGTTATGAATTTTTGAAAAAGTATGTAAAACTATGGAACAATGAGAATCACAACACAAATTGCCAAGATGGTTATCAGTTTGTGACGTCATGTCCTCACAACTTATCAATTGATTTACATATTTTAATCCCGTTAATTTCCCTTTTTATCCCCCAAAACTCGATTTCCCCATACCTTTGCCCAGGTTATATGATTTGTATCATATTGCGTGCATGACATATGCCCAAAACTGTTATGAATTTTGAAGAATTGATACTATTTTCTGAATATTGTATTTCATAATTATTGATTTTTATATAAATAGTTTATCAAAATTCAATTTTTTCATGATTTAACTGGACAAAAATTACTCTATATTTGTGCATCCACACAAACACATATATTACTAACAATCTAACTTGGATGCTGGTGTGAAGAGATAAGATTCTTAGGGTGAAAATAGGAAATTTATATTATCAATATACAGAAAATAATTAGTGGATAGTGAGGACCATACGTCACAGACTCATGAGTGAGTTGCCAATTTGTGTAGTGATTTTCAAAGTTTTTCATGTCATTAAAAATTCATAACTTTCTTATTAGTTATCCAATTTAGCTCAAACTTTTTTTGATTGGTTTGTCTGATTTTTCTGGTTCTATTGAAAGTAAGTTATTTTTCGAGTGGACTTGGGCTTTAATTCTTTTAAAAGTTATTGTAAGTTGTAGGGTCTCGACTCATTTCAATGGGGGGGGGGGGGGGAAGGAGGGACACACAGGCGCTTGTTCAGAAACCTATCTAAAATTTGACCCTACTAAAACATACCCAAAATGAAGTAAATATTCATTAAATGTCCAAATAAAGATCATGAGTTAAAAGTCTTTATGTTTATTAGTATTCCCTGTTTCGTGTCTCTTTTCTTGTTATTTTATTTTTTGGATAAACATTGATATTCTATACACTTTTTCATAGGTTTCACGGCAAACCGCTGCACAATACAAGTACACACCAATGGGCGTGGGTTGCAGGGGCGGATCTAGCTTTTTGCTAAGGGGGGGGGTTGACCAAAATAATGACGATGCAGAGCATCGTCCACGAGCCGCGAAGCGGCGACCCGATTTTTTGGGGGGTGTTTATTTGAACCCCGTAAGTGATGTTTTCCTGGCATCTATTAACACAATGGAGACCATAAAAAGCAGTGCATGATAACGTCTTTTTAAATCAAGTAACAGTTAAATACACAGTTATATCCAGAGTTATCATGTGTTTGGTTAAGTTACCAGATGAGTTGAAAATCTTCTCACAATATTTGCACTTGAAAGGGTTTCTCTCCAGCGTGCGTTCTTTTTTCTTTCTTTTTTTTTTCACTTCGGCGGTGGCCCGTGTCCTCAAAAAAGCTGATGGGGGGGGGGGGGGGGGCAAGGGACTCTGTGACATTTGTTCGCCCAACCCCCCCCCCCCCCTCCCCCAAAAAAGAAATAATAATAAATAATAATAATAATAATAATAATAATAATAATAATAAATGAAATAAATACATAGAAATAGAATAAAATAAAATTACAAGTTTTAAAAAAAAGATAAGATTTAAAAAAATGGTCCCCGGATTTTTTTTTTTTGGGGGGGGTTGCAACCCCCCCAACCCCCCCTCTAGATCCGCTTCTGGGTTGTGCTTGCGAGCAGGTGCGCGCCTGTGTGAAGTTATCTACTGTTATGTCTCAGATCCTTATTACGGTAGATAACTTCACACAGGCGCGCGCCCGCCCGCAACCCACCATCGGTATGCACTTGTATTGTGAGGTTTCAGAACAAGCACCAACACATACTACATAGCTGCATTACTATCCTGGCTGTGCATTGATTAAAAGCTGTGCTATTGCATCACAACATTTCAAACACCACTGTACAAAACTCCACTGATTTCACTCAAAATCTGAACTTACGTGACAATTGATGATACCTAAATAGCAGTAAAATACAATTTGTTAAACCTACCGATGTTAGAAAGAATAATTTTAAAATTCTAATTGTAAGTCTACTGTCAAACTTGCCGATCAGCCACATCGGCATGATTGTCTGCATTTGTGTATTATACGTGTATTGACTATTCAATTCATGTGTGCAAATGCTGCCTATTAACACGTATTGCAGTGCTAGAGGTCAATACGCATTAGCATTGACTCTCTATGCGTTGCTTGAATGGGGGGGGGGGGGAGGGTAGACTCCTCTCTGTTGAGTATGAGAGGACAATTGACATCTGGACTATTTTGACTTTAAATTTGGCAAGTTGAAGTCTATGTTAATTGAGGTAACCTTGTAGTTATACCCCAGGATAGCTTTGCATGTGGAAATCTAGAATTGGCTCCCAGGTTTTGTAATATGTATTCGCATGGATTGGTCTAAGCGCCTACTCGGTTCTTTGGTCGTTATCAAAATCAGATCACAAAAACTGGTTCAGGACTAGGAGATCTGCCACTCAAACATTTATGTCTGAGTCATCTGGATTGCATCTTTCCTTAAAATTGTAGATATGAATTTAATTTAACTGTACTTTTGATCTGTTTTATCTGCAGCAAACATCGCCGTTTCAGACCCATCTCCAAATCTATGATCAGAAACGTTGAACAGAGACTTGAAGTGGAGGAAGAAAATGCTAAACATCTAAGTCGACCATTTCTTACCAAGGTACATCTTAGGGAAGGAGTACCAACATGTAGCTGCAACAAATACTCTGGAAATCTCAACCAAATTGATAAAAGGGATAGAAAGTTTGCTTCAGTATAAGTGGAAGCATAACAAGAAGAGATGAATGCATGAAGCATAACAGTACAGTTCGTTAAGAAAATAAAATAATGATTGTTTTAGAGTTCGGATCATAAATACCATGGGTCTTTTTTTTTAATTGGCACTGTGAGATACTATACACAAAGAAATCTCCCATTTCGTTTTTGTATTAACAAAAATTAAAAATAAAGAAGAAAAACAAATCAATATTTTTTTGTTGGTGTATAATTTCAACACTATGACTAATCGACTATACACATGTATTACAAGTATGGTGCCATCATGCTAAGGATAATTGAACACTTTTTTCTAATACAGTCAAACCTGCTTTAGTGACAACCTGTCTACAAAGGCCACATATTTGGTTTCCCTTGAAAATGGTTTCTCATTGAAACATGTACTAAAGGAACCTGTCCTCAAAGACCACTTTTTGTGCTTCCCTTGGGCGGTCGCTAGTGACAGGTTTGACTGTATCTAGAATAATACAGAATTGTTTTCCTTCCATTTTGAATTTTTCCATAATTACCAAAGTTTGCTTTTCTCCTCTCTGCTCTCTGTACAGGAAGAAGAATACTGTCATGCACAGGAAAGGCGATCCCAGCTGAGGGAGGAATATAAAACAGTCCGACGTTTCAGCAAAGCACCCCCCAACCGATACATCGATGACCATTTAGCCCATCTCAGGATATCAAGGAAATGGGAATGACCAAAGGAGCGCTGTGCAGTGTGAGAACTGCCTCAAAGAAACTCTGGGCTTTAAGCCATTTTGTTTGATGCCATCTTGAAACAACGTGTGCACATCCTAATATACACATTGATGCTCCATGCGTTGTAACTCCCACATGGATGTAAATTCACTCACTGTGAAAAGAGTATTATCTAGCAATATCCTAAATAATTGGTTTTGTGTTGGTGTTGCTTTCTAGTCTTGTAAGGTACTACAAGATGCAATGTACTAACCAGCTTCATAAAGAGAATCTTCATTATTTGGAGCATCAACATATTGTCTGCTGAGAACCCCAAAAGGCACAAAGTTATGTTCCTAAACATAGTTTTTTTTAATCGCCCTTCTGGCTCTCAACAGATAATATGCCAAATATATTTGGAAAAAAAAAAAATTCTCATTGCAATCTCTTATACCAGAAGTAAGAGGTTGTTGAAAATTCAAGTTGTAAGTCCATATTGATTATTTGATTCACCCCTACTTTAAAAAAAAAAACACAGAAATTAAGTAGCTCTAGCAAGCAGCAACAAAAAGCTCATGCTTTACCAGAAATATAGATTCTCTCACATCGAAAGTTAGATCTTATAGCAGCTGGTGGTTCTGCTTTAAGAGATATTGTGTGATAATTTGGTATGTTTCTGATAATGTAGTTTTGGTCAAGGGAAGAAAGTGTGTGATAGAACCACCGACATTGTGAAGGATGTCAAAATCGATTGAAAAAAGGGTGTGCTTGTAGGTAGGCAACCAGTGGACCTACGGGTTTAAGTCATATCTGAGTGACTTTCGATAATCGATGATAACTTTTTTAATCTGGGGCCTACCACTGCTTTACCACCAAGCCCCCTTAAATTCCAGAGGTTTACTTGTGTAGGGAAATACATGTATTTATGCTGAAAAATTAGTGATTTTAAGACAACTAAAAATCCTACAGATAAGTTTCCATAGGTAAACCTATATGAAATAAAATTTCAGTGAAAGATGCACTTGTATTCTTGATTGCTTCTAAGCAAGATGTTATCTTTGAAGTAACTGGAAATTAAAGGCATTTTATATATTGTAATCAATTTCATCCATTCATGTGCATTTCTCACCAGATTGAATGCAAGTATTTTGCTTAGTCCTATTGAATAGTCCTATTGAAGAAATCCCTGGGAAGATTCAAGATTTCACCAATAATAGCTCGTTTCAAATTTACTATCATCTTGAAAGAGATGGAGTGAAGTCAATTCCTTGTCCTCGCATTCTCACCACTTTTATATATTATTTGAACTGATGCATGTATTAAAACTATAATAAATACATGAATATATCATGTTCATGATGACATAAGAATTACTGTGTTATCATTTTGTGCACTTTGTGCATCTGTAATTTGACAATAAGAACACATTCAAACAATATCTTGGTCTCATGCTACATATTTTATTATATATATATATATCACAATATTAATCAGACTTATATAAATCTCTTGTACATTGGTTTTATATATTACATAAAGACACCCTCCACCAATAATATATAATTTCATATATTATTTAATTTTGTTCTTTTGCACATCTTTTCATATTTTTGGTAATGACATACACAGCTCATCTTGAGGCATTAAATATGATTTAAATGATTGTACTTGATCTGGATATAACTGAAGACTCATTCCCACATGATGCGGTAGATCCCCCTCTGCAGCAAAATGAAATTACATCTAAAGATAGAGTTCTGGTCATGCAATTGCAATGTAAAAGAAACTGTGTGGGGAATCATCAAAATGATCGGTCTTGGTTAAGTTACAAGCACTGTACACAGAAAGATGTATATGGGACTACACAAACATGTTGCATAAAAATCTGTTCCAATTTTTATGATGGTACATGCCATATTTAGAATACGATAGCATTGGAAGAGCCATGCTTTTCAGGGAACATTTTTTATCTGATGTTCTTCCACACTTGCATAATAACAATGGTAACGCTTACAAATTTGTCTTTTACCTCTTCCCAGAACTCAACCTTCTCTTTAAGGATCCTAGTACTAGTAGTATGAATCACATTTCTGTATCTTAATCTCATAACACATGGTTAGTGAGTATGCGCAAGGAACATTGTTATGAGCATACTGTGGATACTTTGTCCTCGCCCCACTAGCCTTTTATTTACACATGATCATAACACCGGTATGTGTGAAAGAGAATTTACATGCAATGCATAGTTGCTATTTGATAAGGCACATAAGAAAGAGATTTATTTATTTAACACAAAAGTGGTTCCTGTACATACATTGAAAAACACATGGGTTAATACTGGGGCTGCCATGCAGTCTCTCACATCATATTTTTACATTATTTACAAATAACATGCAAATAACATGTCATTTTTTAACCCAACTCCTTCTCAGTTGATGGTTGTAATGAGCCATGTCAAAAAAGAGAGAAGAGAAATGAGCCATTGTCTATTTATTTTTAGTTAATGGGGTTGTAGAAAGCCAGATATATTATTTTCAATTATACTTGTAAAGTTATCATTTCAAAAGATGAATATGATATGATTTGGGAAGTAAAAGAGAGAGAGAGAGAGAGAGAGAGAGAGAGAGAGAAAGAAGAGGGGGGGGGGGGGGGAAGGAGGGGCAGATGGAGAAGAGAGAGAGATACAGTACCAGTTAACACAGTAATCACTTTAGTACATATAACTGAATACTTAAAATATGAATATTTCTATAAAAACACACACAAGAAAATCTGAAGTAAATACAAAAATTCCCTCTTTTGTTTTAGTTGCTTTCTCACTTCTACCCACTTGTACAATGAATATAAACAAAGTACTGCGGTGGATCACGTTGAACTGGCTATAATCAAGGTTATATTTTGATATCCTATAGTATCTCAACAATGTCGTGTAGAATCAATAGTTGACCTCTTCATTTTACAATTGCCTCTATTCATGGAAAAAAACAAAGGGTTACGGTAGTACTAAGTGAGTCCAAGTTACTTGTTTTTTTTAGGAACAGTAAAAAATCAAACATGGCAGACCTTTATCAAACATATTACAATAAAACATATAAAATATACATACATTTATTTGTTACACATCAAAGCATAATGAGGGTTTATGTGTCATGATCTCAATTCAATATGGCTAGTTGTAAACGGCTGAATATTATGATCTGAGGTTTGAAATTGCAATTTCAAATCAAACATACAGTCATTACAGTGAACCAAAATAATGCTGTATCAGCTTCCATTGCCTTGTGGGATTTAGATTTGAAACAATGCCATGCTTTACAGGAGATCACATCTAAGGCAATGTCACTGCCATTGATCAGTCTTGTGGCTGTACAAATTTATGAAATTCAGCAATAGAACCACCAGAACATCAAAGAGAGAAAAAAAGTAAACATAGGATGGAGGTTGATCCTAATTCATGGTTTTAAATCTTCATAAGAAATGATTCAGACCACGGTGAAAATTGAACCTCTTTCATGTATTTAAGCCAATAAGTATGGAAAAAAGTTTCCTGTTCAAAATACAATGTTTGTAGTACAGATTTCTTCTTTAGATTACAGATAAGATTTCACTAACAAAGAAATTGCTTTAAAAATTCAGGGCTTCCAAAGAAAATTGTTCTGGGGTTGTGTTTTTACTGCAAAGATGAATGATCACAGAAAGGCTTTTTACAGATATATAAATTTGTAAACATAAGTTATGAGTTGACATGGATTCTTAAAGAAAAAGAAGCTGTATATTAATGGTCTCTCATTGCTTGGCACTCAGATTGATGATAATGCTCATCGCTGATTGGCTCCGATGATCAGTTGACTGACGACTCGGTGGTCTTGATGGTAACGGTATGTTATGTAGCAGCATAAAGGCTGAGAGTCTTTAATAGACTGGTGGGACTTCATAACTTGCTTGACCATTGACTTGGATCAGACCTGAAGTTAAGAGATAGAAGGGATATATGAGATCAGCAAGGCCATTGCATGACCAGAGGGAAGAAGTAGGAGGGAGTTCTACCATTTACTTCCACATTCCTTCCCTTTCTCGCTCATTATCTCTCTCCCTCCTTGTTGCGCCCCATGCCCCTCAATATATGCCACTTGTCAAGAGCATCAATGAAACAATTCTAGCTGTTTAATCTTTTTCTCCCTCTCAGATATGTTTAATGCATTGAATCATATATAGAAGGATATAACTTTAGATTTACTATGCTAATTTGTAGAGAAAACTGTGTTTATCCGCTTTACTCTGCCCAAACTTTTTCAAACGAGCTGTTGCCAATATTGCATCATACTATCGGGTACTTTACTATTTTTACTTTGTAAACATGAAAAGTATACTTACTGTATTTCTGATTTACTCAGCTCCCTTCCACTTGCTAGCAGCTCGGCAAACTGTGACACGATGGGGTCAGAGTTCATACTAGCCATGGCTACCACAGTCTCGTCCCTGGGTGTGTGCAATATAATATTACAACGATATGAATTATTCATTCATTCATTTCTCTTTTCACCCAATGTTTGAAAACCACAAAGAAGTTTTTACATGGTATTTTTACAATTCATACCATACACAGAAATTAAAAGAATAACAAAATCTACTACAAGACTGAATCCATTAATATGGCAGAATATATCATTTAAACATTCAACAGTATGATTAGATTGTACAAGATATAAATAAAGAATGAGAAGTAGCAGTTAGCACAATTGCAAACATTTACATAGAACATTGGTGCTTTAAGTGTCTAGAAGTCAAGCCTCAATTCCTTTTTTCTTTTCTTTTTTTGATGGATCATCATATTTTGCTGTGTGCAATATTAAGAATGAATACACATCAACTCTGGGGTGTAAGCAAATTATGATGCAATTAACATAGAGACTGCTAAGATTATGTCTTTAAAAGTAGACAAGAAAAGTTTGTGAAAAAAAAATGATGACTCACTTGATGTAATAAGCTACAAACTTGAGTTCATTTAGATCACCTGTAACAATAACATCCTCAAATCCTTCATTGAATCCTGATGGAAAGAAAAAGAAGAGAGAGAGAGAGAGAGAGAGAGAGAGAGAGAGAGAGAATGGGGGGGGGGATTAGAAATTGGTCAAAAATGTAAAAAGTTATTACTTCATTGAAATAAAAATAAATTTGTACCTAAATCCAACAACTCAATTAAAACAAAATAGGTACCCGATTTAACAATGAAATTAGGAATGTTTTAATAATGTATCGAAAAGTATGATTTTCCATCAACTGACATTATCCTACGGGAATACTCACATTTCCAAATGTTTTTTTACTTGACGTACATATTCTTTGAATCAATACCCTATACCTTGGTTCGTGAAAGTCCATCCTCTGTTTGGAGAGGGGCATTAACTTATTTGTTTTTTTTTGACAAATAGATATATTTATATTTGCAGGCAATCATATCACCATCACACCTTTCTTACCTGCATATCTGACACTTTTGCCAAAAATCTGGGTCCAGAAAAATGGTACCGTCTCCATCTCGACCTTCTGTCCAAGAATATTGAGGGCTGCCACACGACCTGTAAATAATGATGATAATAACATTAGTAATAACAATAATACAAATAATGATGATAGTAATAATAATAACAATAATAATAAATAAATGATAATACAAATATAATATAATGTTCTCCAATTTTAATGTTATGTTATGAGAAAGATATGTTACCCTATGCACATACATATGGAAGACTGGGTCTCGACAAGAGAAGAGTCTTTTATGAGAATGATTACCAGGAATAATTATAAAGGTATTGAATTAGGCCTATTTAGGGTGCGTTCAATCGAATTTTCGAAGCTAGAATCACAAACATGAATCACAATTCAAAACGCCGTTACAAAAAGCAAGGTCACTGCGGTTTGCGTTCAAGCGATTTTTCATCAACGCTGATTCTAGCTCATTGCGAGCCAAACCACTGCGCATCACACTGCGCAGTATGGCCCAGGAACTTCGGCGCGCGCTTTCTGGAATTGTTTACGGCCGACTGTCGACTGCTGTTTTGAGCATAGATCGCAATAATAAGACAAAGAATGAGAAGGTGATAGAAGGAAGAAACAAAGAATAACATAAGGAAAGACAGAAAGATAAAGTCGATAGAATAATTAAAACAAAGAATAACATAAGAGAAGGTGAAAGAAGGAAGAATCGAAGAATAACATAAGGAAAGACAGAAAGACAGAAAGAGAGAGTGATAGAATATGCTTAAAACAAAGAATTACATAAAAGGTGATAGAAGGAAAAAACAAAGCATAACATAAGAATAGAAGGAAGAAACAAAAAATAACAAAAGAGAAGGTAATAGAAGGAAAAAACAAAGAATAACATAAAAATAGAAGGAAGAAACAAAGAATAACATAAGGAAAGACAGAAAGAGAATGTGAAAAAGGAAGGAACAAAGAATGACATAAGGAAGAACAGAAAGAGAAAGTGATAGAATGATTAAAACAAAGAATAACATAAGAGAAGGTGAAAGAAGGAAGAATCAAAGAATAACATAAGGAAAGATAGAAAGAGAAAGTAACAGAATGATTAAAACAAAGAATAACATAAGAGAAAGTGATAGAATTATAAAAAACAAAGAATAACATAAGAGAAGATGATAGAAGGAAAAAACAAAGAATAACATAAGGAAAGACAGAAAGAGAAATTGATACAATGCTTAAAACAAAGAATTACATAAGAAAAGGTGATAGAAGGAAAAAAACAAAGAATAACATAAGTATAGAAGGAAGAAACAAAGAATAACATAAGGAAAGACAGAAAGAACAAATGATAGAATGATAAAAACAAAGAATAACATAAGAATAGAAGGAAGAAACAAAGAATAACATAAGGAAAGACAGAAAGAGAAAATGATAGAATGATAAAAACAAAGAATTACATAAGTATAGAAGGAAGAAACAAAGAATAACATAAGGAAAGACAGAAAGAGCAAATGATAGAATGATAAAAACAAAGAATTACATAAGAAAAGGTGATAGAAGGAAAAAAACAAAGAATAACATAAGTATAGAAGGAAGAAACAAAGAATAACATAAGGAAAGACAGAAAGAGCAAATGATAGAATGCTTAAAACAAAGAATTACATAAGAAAAGGTGATAGAAGGAAAAAACAAAGAATAACATAAGTATAGAAGGAAGAAACAAAGAATAACATAAGGAAAGACAGAAAGAGCAAATGATAGAATGCTTAAAACAAAGAATTACATAAGAAAAGGTGATAGAAGGAAAAAACAAAGAATAACATAAGTATAGAAGGAAGAAACAAAGAATAACATAAGGAAAGACAGAAAGAGAAAATGATAGAATGATAAAAACAAAGAATAACATAAGAAAAGGTGATAGAAGGAAAAAAAACAAAGAATAACATAAGAATAGAAGGAAGAAACAAAGAATAACATAAGGAAAGACAGAAAGAGAAAATGATAGAATGATAAAAACAAAGAATTACATGAGCAAAGGTGATAGAAGGAAAAAACAAAGAATAACATAAGTATAGAAGGAAGAAACAAAGAATAACATAAGGAAAGACAGAAAGAGCAAATGATAGAATGACAAAAACAAAGAATTACATAAGAAAAGGTGATAGAAGGAAAAAACAAAGAATAACATAAGTATAGAAGGAAGAAACAAAGAATAACATAAGGAAAGACAGAAAGAGCAAATGATAGAATGATAAAAACAAAGAATAACATAAGAAAAGGTGATAGAAGGAAAAAAAACAAAGAATAACATAAGAATAGAAGGAAGAAACAAAGAATAACATAAGGAAAGACAGAAAGAGAAAATGATAGAAGGAAAAACAATGAATAACATAACGGAACAGGCCACGATGGTATAGTGAACGCAAATTGCATGCAAAGCGGGCGCGCGGTTTTTCCCAAACCGGAAGAGGCTTCGTCATACAATCATGATTGAGAACTCCGTCCGTTCAATCGAATTTTAGCGACCGTGATTCTTTTGAATCATGATACAAAACGCATCTTTTTCAGCGTTTCATGTTTGTGTTTTCAAACACGTTTATTTTTACGACCGACGAAAAAATCGCTTGAACGCATTGCGTTTTAAACTAAACGTCTTTAGAAACCGTGATTCTAGGGTGAAAAAGTGTCGATTAAACGCACCCTTAGTTGTTTGGCCTGTATTAGAGTTAATTAGCCAGTCACTTGAAATTGGCCCAACTCACACAAGAATATCAATTAAATGAGGAGGGGGTCATCACCATGGACCTACACTCCGCTTCTTATAAATATGACCAAGGAGCATGTCCCTGTTATGACCAAGAACTTCTTGTTATGACATAATGTTAACAATCCGGTTCACAACCTTTCAAATTTGGTACAAGGACACTTGATGGCGAGAGTGGTCTGTGGGGTTTATGAGTTGGATGAAATATTCATGTGAATGGTTAGCAGGTGGCCCCGGCCAGGAGAGAGAGAGAGAGAGAGAGAGAGAGGAGAGAGAGAGAGAGAGAGAGAGGGGGGGGGGGGGGGGAGAGAAAGAGAGGGAGGGAGGGAGAGAGAGAAATTAATAGAAAGAGCGAGAGAAAGAGAGAGAGAGAGAGAGAGAGAGGGGGAGGGTAGCCATCACAAATGATACTGAACGTTATGATATGCCTACAGGCTACAGATGCAGAAAATATATTGGAAAATTTCATGGTTGTGAACTTGTGATACATTTTGGTCTTTATTTTATCATGGACTCAACATATTAGAGATATCAAGCGAGTATTGTTTTGTGTTTTACTGGGGGATGTTGTTTGGCAGTCGGCAAGTTGATGAAGTAGATGATGGTCTACTACTTAGATTCTAGACCCAGTCGGGGTAGTAGGTCCATGTCATGATACTAGACGGAGAAGAAGAAACAAATGCTATAATCCTAAGCTTATTCAAGAGAGTACCTTTCTCGAATCCGTTGATTAATAGGCCTTTATGAATTTTGAACTTCAGGAGCAATGCGGACTATCCCCTGCAATATGTTTCTCTTTTTTTTTCTCCTAGTGCTACTAGTCTACACTCTGGAAAAAAAAGACCCCCAAAGCGTCTACACTTTTAGACTACTAGTATTGCCCACTACTATCTTCAACGTTTCCCACGAGGATTGTATCTCGCTACATGTTCAAATAAACTTCGAAAGCCGACAGCTCATCACTCTCTCTCTCTCTCCCGCTCTCTCTCTCTCTCTCTCCTCCTCTCTTTGGCGCGCGCGCTTGAACATAAGACATCAAACACACGTGTTACATATACATTGTTCTGATCTTCATGTATAATTAATGCATACACACAATTCAACGGAGTTGAGGCAAATACATGCGTCCTACTATACCTGGTCCTACTGTGAAATAAGGTCTTGTAAATAACTAAACAAATTAGCAATCATGGTTTCATTGGAAAATGATAGGTCTGTGTTGGGACAAACAGGTGATAAACTGTTACAGTTGATATCTCATGATAGTATTAGTATGGATATTACGGGTACGACTACGAGCAAGACTTCATTTGAGATGTCGTCAAAGTCGACAATCTGGGTTTCGCCTTCGGCAGCAAAGCCCAACAGCACATTCCCCTCTCCTCTAACGGCCTTGGGGAGCTTGCCTACACCCTGGAGTAGCGGTCTCAGTTATCCATGTAATAAGACGGTGGCGGCGTCGGACCAAAACCTCGTTGAAAGCGATTCCCGAGTCGATGATGTCACGTTTAGGCCTAACCATCCACATCAGTTCGCCTCTGTAGGATCGGGCTATTTGTTATCATGCGACACTCGTTCCACGGGCCAAGTCGTCTCGACCAGTGACTGTTCTGAGAATATTATAGCGACATCGAATACCACGTACGATGAGGTCGATGTAAGTCGAAATTCATGGCGCTATCCGTTAGCAGCAAGTCGTCAACTTGATGAGGATAGTAGCAGATCCAAAGATCTAAATTACCATGCTCAACCAGGCTGTGCTCAACCGGGCTCAAGCCTGACCAGCTTTGATGGCATTGATGAAGTCTCATCGTCTACAATTTCATTGCCCAGCTCGACGTCAACTTCGACTTCGGTTTCGGTTGCTATTGACGCTTTGCCCATCTTCATGTCACCTGTCGAATCGGTGAAACCATGTCCACAGTACTGTCGATGTCATGGCTACAGTCATGGATGCTACAGTCCAGTCTCATTACAAAATAACCATGATAACACAATGCTGTACCCCACGCCTGATCTTCTTCAAAATACCGAACCGGATCAATTTTCTTCTAGTTCTACCAGTACTTCATGGACCATGTGCATGAATGCGCCGTTGGTATGTCCAGGCCCTTTTCAGCCACCTTTGAAATCATTCAAATCTGCCATGCCAGGATCCGTCGACGAGGGCGCGAATTCGGTTAGGTTGGTCTCATCGGCGCCCATCGCCAGTAAAATGAAGTCGGCTCCTACTCCTAGTCCTAGTGGAGAGGATCGGGCATACCCAGTCGAGATGGTAGCGTCAGCTTGGCTGACCACGCTTGTCAACGAAGCTGTCGGCAAGGGTAT